ATTCACATTAAACACATTTACTATATTGTATCTACTGTAAAAAGTGAAATGATCATGACATTAGTGAAATGCCAGTGAGCTATAAAGACAGCAAAATACAAATGACTAAATTAACTAATAATGTAAACTTGCCAGTAAACCTTTTATGGAAATGCTTCATTTTTTGCTCAACCACTGAATTACATAGGCTACCTTCACATCTGTTTCAGGACCTCCACTATGACTGTGTATTCGGGCTACATTAAGCAACACAAATTAGAGGAGGGAGATATATATACATTTGTATTTTGCTTGTCGAGAATAAAGTTGAAATTTCATTCTGACAACAAAGTCCAAATGTGAACGTTTGACTAATCTCATGACCTGTGATGCTAATGTGATGCAGCCAAAGCACATTGCATTTGGAGGCTTGCTGTCATGATTCCTGCCTCAGTTCTGTTCTCATTGTCTGCCCCCCATGTCTGCCTTTACCCACATTCATCCCAAGGCCCCAGGTACTTCTCAAGACATTTCCTGCATCTGCTATTCCTCACACCACCACCAGGTGCCCCCAGACTTCCCCCGCCAACTCCGTTCAGCTGCCGCCTTCCTCGCCCACTCACACAACTGTTCCCAGTTTCCCAATTATCCAGCCAGTACGTAAATGTGCCTGTACCACCTGCTCACTACCAAATCATAGCATGTTAATGTGTGCGTACTTTCTGCTGCCAGTTCTCACATCTGCCTGTTCCCTGTTAGGTTTGTTTGGGTCCTCCGTGCCTGTGCTCCGTACGCCATCTGTGACAGCCCGCTAATGGGAAGCTAATACGTTTAGCTACTTTATAAAAAGCGAAGTGTTGCTAAGAATTTTTTTTTTTACTTATAAATGAAATATTCGTAGAATTCTTAAAGCTATCTTCTATATGATCTGGCCAATTTCTTGGGTCCTAATCGTGATGCAACTCAAGCAAATGTATGTGCTTAAAGAACTGCAACAGTGAAAAGCTGGAATTGTTTTAACTCTTTAGGTACTTGAAATA